AACACCATTTAATGTGGCTACAGACCAAAATGAATTAACAAATAAATAAAAGAGTAAGAAAACAGATCAATCTGGGATGGAGTGATAGCACAGCGGGTAGGGCATTTGCCTTGCATGTGGACGACCTGGGTTCAATTCCTCTGTCCTTCTTGGAGAGCCCAGCAAGCTACAGAGAGTGTCCCGCCCACAGTAGAGTCTGGCAAGCTCCCTGTGGCATATTCAATATGCTAAAAACAGTCACAACAATCTCACAATGGAGACGTTTTGGTGCCCACTTGAGCAAATCTATGAACAACGGGAGGACAGTGCTACAGGACAGTGCTACATTTGACTAAAATGAAGGATGAGATAAGACTGGAAACAAAGATGCATTAGGTTATTCCAACAGTAAGGGGTTGAACTAGGCAGCAGCAATAGATTAGAGAAAATTTAAGTGGTATAAAGATGTACAATTAATATAACAGCAATGGATTGGAATAAAGAGGTAGACTAATGATGTAAGTTCAAAATAAAATTTAATCAGACTGTAAAGGAAGGAACATCCATTAACATCTCTAAAAATATCGATACTTCATGGTAAATTCACTTAAATTGTCTTCCAGCAGAGAATGAACTAAACTTCAGGTCCTGATAATAGTTAACAAAGCAGGTGAGTTTGATAAGCCTACTCATTCTGTCCCAACCTTTTTATCAAGGCAATGGGAAACCAAGATTGAATAAGCCACAGGGGTAATGAGTCATAGCAACCAGAGGAAAGAAAGAAAAAGACAGCAAGCTGGAGCACCATTCAATGAAAGCACTTCCTACTTTTATATATTTATAAATAGTCAATGTATTTTTCATCATGCCTGGTATTCTCACTGATAATAAGAATATGTCTGTTTCTATTCAAGCTCAATTATCTTTTTAAACCCTGATGCATGTAGAAAACGTCACTAAGATTTTTGAAGTTGAAAAAGGAAATAGAAGGGATGAAATGAAGAGGGGGAAAAAATCCAGAAATGCAATCCAATAGGTAGGTTCATAGAAAGATCAAAATTCCCCTCCGGGTAGCACTTAACCTTCCTTAATTTTTAACTTTGATTAATTGAATGGCATCATGAACTTATGAGAAGACTTTAAAAAAAATTAGCAAACATGTTTATTATGTCAAGATATTTTTTCTTTTATTTAATATCCCATTACAACTACCCTGGCCTTTTTTAAAAATAATAATTTACACCTGGAAACCTGAAGTCCTAACTCTTGGTTTTCAATTCTTTACTACACACACAAATAAGATTTGTATTAATTTTTCTGAAGCATTTTTTAGGTACGAGAGAGTCAGGGAAATAAACAGTAGTTACATACCTTGAAACTACATAATGTGAAGATTAATTAAAATAGCAGTGTTTCCAAAGAACTAAAATTTCAAAAAAACCGCTTCTCTATTTTTGTGTCTTCTTGTTTCCACCCTTTCAACCATCGTTTGTTTAGATGGAGAAATGTTGCTTCCTAGAAAGCTCCCTGGACTACCAGACGGAATTAAAGTTACTGTACCTGCCAGGTCAAGTGACTGTGATATAAATGCTCTCTTGTTAAGACACAATTAGAGGGGGACAGAGTGATCAGACAGTGGGTAGGGACCTGCCTTCCAAGCATGCAGTAAGGTTCAATCCCTGACACTTCCTGTAGTCCCCTGAACACTGTCAGGAGTGATCTCTGAGCACAAAGCCAAGAAAGAGCAAAGGCTGAACACTGCTGGGTGTAGCCCAAAAAACCAAACCAAAACAAAACCCAAAACACACCTAGAAAAAGAAAAAGTCTTGATTGATGAATAGAAAGGCTTAGATTATGGTCATCAGCCCAATGGAAATTTCCCAAACACCATTTGGAGATGTCTGGAAATCACGATTAGGGGGAGACCACAGTACGCTAAAAGATTTGCCCACTCAAAAGTCAACTAATAAATCAGTTATATCTATAGTGAACATAGCTTTCACATTATGATAACTTACAGTTTTACCTTCTGAAAGAGTACAGAATTATTTATTCTGAACTGGTACAAGGATTAAGATGTGGTCAACCCCAGTTTATCCTATACCCAGCACCTTGTATGATTTTCTGACTGCCACCAGGAATAATCCCTGAGCACAAAGCCAGGAGTAAACCTTGAGCACCCCAAAACCAAAATAAGAAAATACAGAACTACGTAGTTTACTGAAAATGGGAGAAGTAACCTAACTTGTAGTGAGTAGCTATTTTGGATGCAAAGGACATTATTTTAATTCAATTAGATTCTCTCCATTATTCTGTGAAGAAAACAGAATTTTCTATATTCTGTGACTGAACTGATCAAGGCTCATAAAATTTAATGACTTTCTCACAATCATACATAATAACCCAGAAGAGATTAAGGTATTAGATGCTTAGACATTTTTCTGTGGAATCAATCTGTATCCAGCACTAAAACATTCTCTAAGTGCTGAGAAAAAAAATTATTTACAAAGAACCCACGTTAGATTTCTTAAGATCACTTGGAAAATATAATTAGTTCTCTAGTGCTAAAGAAGAGAAAAGCAAATAAGAATATAAGACACTCTTCACTGGTGTTGATCCTACCCCAGGGAGTAAGTACTGACCAATAATTAAACGAATTTTTTAGGGGGGGGGCTGAGTAAGGGTCTAGGAGTTAAGGAATTTGCCCTGCATGCAGCAGATCCAGTTGGAACTCCCCACCACTGCATAAAGTACCCCAAACATAGCTAGGAGTGACCCTGGAGCACTGCCAGGTGTACCTCTCCCTCACTCCAACAAATGAATATTTTTTAAAGTAGGACTCATATCTTTCTGGGCTCTCCCCTGTTTCAGTCAATTTATGGCTATAGAGTGCCAACTGTTGCATGTTGGGTATTTTAGAGAGAAACAGTGTGTAGATGATTTATTATAACTCAGTTTCAGAATCAGTAGCTCTGAAAGGGAAGGAGAGGATGGAAGACTGTCCAAGGGAGAAGTTAAGCTCTGCTGAAATCAGCCACGGCAGTAGCACCCTCAAGTTGACTCTGGGACTGGGCACTGGAGAACTGTCTTCCTGTTTCCATCTGCCCATTAGCCCATCATAACATGATATGTGTCAGCTGCCCCAAGAAAAAGTGAGGAATACTTATTGTAATATTTGTTTGAGGGACACACCCAGTAGTTCTCAGGGGCTTACTCCTGGTTCTGCACTTAAAAGGGTTCACTATTAGTGGGGCTCAGGGGACCATAAGGAGTTCCAGGAATCAAACTCAAGTAGATCCTTGCAAGGCAAGAGGTTTTCTCACTGTGCTATCACTTTGGTCCCATATAAGTCTTGGAGATGGTTGAGAGTTGAAGATTGCTGGCTTGCAGATACCCTGCCTTGAGGAGAAAGCATTGTCTTGCCTGAAGGGAGTTATGGGAAAATCATCAACACCTCTAAGACATGAGGAGAAAGCATTGTCTTGCCTGAAGGGAGTTATGGGAAAATCATCAACACCTCTAAGACATGTAACTAAGTCTCCAAATTCAGATGATCTGACTCAAGTGTTTTGTTCCTTATGTTATACTGATGGGCTGGAGTGGTAGCACAGCAGGTAAGGCCTTGCAAGCGGCCAACATGACCAACCTGAGTTCAATTCCTCCTCCCCTCTTGGAGAGCCCAGCAAGCTACCGAGAGCATCTCACCTACATGAAAAAGCCTGGCAAGCTACCACTAACGTATCCGATATGCCAAACACAGTAACAAGTCTCACGATGGAGACGTTATTGGGCCCACTCGAGCAAATCGATGAACAACGGGAGTACAGTGACAGTGACAGTGATATTATTTTGATATGAATGCCCAAGAAACACTGTGACTTTTAATAAAATGTCAACTTTTCTTACTGTTATGTTGAGTTCCTAAAGTTGTAAAGAGAAAAACAAGTTTATGGCTGCTCAAGTAAATGCTTATTTGTCTACAGTAATTTGAACTTGATACCACACTTGATCTTAGCCAAAAGGGTTAGAGAGAGACTTGACTCTCCACACGCATGAAGGTACCTGCAGAGGAACAAAGGCATGTGGGTCCTGGGGCTGAGATCTCCAAGCCTGCTCGGATCAGGGCTGAGCATCCTCCACCCAGATCCTCCACATTCCAGTAGGCAGGGGTCACACCCACCAACTGGCCCCCCAGCGCCGTGTAATCCCATCAACAGCCAAGACCCAGAGACTATAAAACCCAGCTCCCAGAAGCAACATCTTATTGTCTCATTCTTGCTTTGGACAACCTGGCAGGCTACTGAATATAACCGGCCCACACGGTCGAGTCTGGCAAACTCCCTGTGGTATACCCAATATGCCAAATACCAGTAACAATGATGAGTCTCATTCTCCTAACCCTGAAAGATCCTTTACTATGGCACTTTTTTAAAAATCTCAGGGCTAGGAGGAAGGAGACATTACGGGGGCCTGCTCGAGGCAATTGACGAACAACAGGATGGTCATGATCATCGTGATCGTGAATTTGAACTTGATATGTGAAAAAAATGCATGATATCCCTTCTCCACCTCTGCCATTTTCCGATTAGCAAAGAAATTCAGAGAAACCACTTAGGGATACAAATACATGCAACGGGTTCCCCAATGTTCTATTATAGTCAGACTGTCCCGTAGTCTTTCCTGATCCCTTGTAAGTGTTCTGCAGGGATGAAAGTCGGTTCCTTTGTATCTCTCTAACCCTCAACTTCCCATCCTAAAATATGGTGTTTATAGATTTTCAAAGGAATAAGGTGCCAGTTGACCAAAGATTCACTGTGTGGAAACCAAGTAAGTTGACAATGATTCTTCAATGTTTCTCCTGACCAATAGAGTAAACTGAAAGAGATCAGGCAAACATTAGCAAAATGTTAATGTGGGGTGTTCATTTGTGTTCCCTTAGAAGTGAAGCCTTAAAATAAAGATTTAATGCAGATAGATTACTTTATTTTAGGGATAGAAGCTATCTCAAAATACAACGTGGAGTGCTCACTTCGGCAGCACATATACTAAAAAAATGGGAATGATACAGAGAAAATTATCATGGCCCCTGTGCAAGGATGACTCGCAAATTTGTGAGGCATTCCCTATTTTAACAAAAACGTAGAAATTGTAGGACAATCAAAAAAAGGAAAGAATATTAAAAGGTGTCTGTTATCTGTACTATGGGCAATTATAACTCAGTTTTTTATATTTAATTTTTTTATTTTATAAGGTAGTTCACAAAATTTTTTACATTTAATATTGAAACACCAATCTCACTACCATTACACCTTCCCACTACCAAATTTGAGATGTTTCCAACCCAAGCCCCCATCGCTGTCCCAAAACAGAACCGAACTAATATATCTTGTATTGTCTGTTATGGAAAACCGCTAAAAATGCCACAAAAAAGTATCCATAAAGGAGACAATGTGAAGATTGTTCTATTTTGGCAGGGGCCATTAAAACATTCTTTAGAACATCACTAACATATTGTTAAAGGTTGAGTGACATCACTTTTGTATATATGTATAGCACTAGCACTATCCTCCCGTTGTTGACCGATTTGCTCAAGCGGGCCCAGTAACATCTCCATTGTGACTTGTTTTATATATATATATGTATGTATGTATATATATGTATATGTATATACACATATATACACACATATATGTATATATACACATATATACATATATATCTATAACTATGTATATATACATATATATTTCTATGATTTCTATTATTTGAACCTCATCAAATGTGGTGTGGTATTTTGGAGAATGGGTAGGGAGTGTCTTACGATGTGTTGTGGCCATGTGGTCCAGGAATACATTTACTCCATATGTGAGGCTCGGCCGGAGCATGTGGGGAATGGCCTTGAGCATGGCGGTGGTTGGGTTCTGGAGGTTTTCCGCTGCCAGAGCTGGGTTCCTTGGGGTGGGGAGGGCTCTCACTTGGCCCCTCTGGGGCACCCTGAGAGAAGCAGCCTGGCTCAGATTCCCATGGCATGGCTATGGCGAGTGGATGACTCAGTCTTATTGAAGATATTTTGCAGAACATACCTCTGAATTACCCCAGTGAAGAATAGACACCGGAGCATTTTTTTCCTAGTGATTCTAATCTCCCAGTATATAACAGTATAACAGCCTCCTTTACAGAAGTGACCTCCTCTGATCTTCTGGAACAATTTGGATAATAGTAGAGAAAGCATTGAGTCTGTATAGTGGAGAGTTCTAGTGAGCCACTATCAAGTAGATAGAAATTGCTTACCACCACAGTTGTTACTAAAATCATCCATGAGGAAATGTGTTAGCCCCTGAAGTGACCATTGTAGTTGTTTGTCCCTGTGAATAACTGGACTGTGAGAGTTTAGGAAGGAGAGTTAACTTTAGTCCTTTGGTGTTTCTGGTTTCTAATACTTAAGAGAACGTCCTCCTGCCACCATTAAAAAACATCTACAGGGCCAGAGCAACAGAACAGCAGGTAGGACATTTGTTTTGCACACAGACAACCCAAGTTCCATCCCCCGAATGCCATAGGGTCCCCCTGAACACCAGGAATAATTTCTGAGTTTAGAGCCAGGCGAGCTTGGGGAATCAGGGAATCATATGTGATGCGGAAGATTGAATTCAGGTCACCCATATGCTCACTGTACTATCTCTCCGGGCCCCTTGCCTTTATTTCTAACCCAACTCTTCAAGAGGTGGAAAAGGGACACACACCGGACCCCTTTATCACCTTCTGTTAACATAAACTCCTACACTGCTGAGAGGAGCAAAGGTCAGGAGATTATGTAAGTAAAGACTGTTTGCAAAGTTAGGTGGTGACTCCAAACTACACATTTCAAATGATATTCTTTATAAAGAGTAATAAAAACTGTAAAAGAGTAATAAAAAAGTAATGAAAGTAATGAAAGAGTAATAAAAGTGTCAGTTTAATGAACTTTGATTTTTTTCTGCTAAAGTCTGTTTTGGTTAGAAAGGGAATCTATGAGTTAACCTTGGCTACTAACTTTGTGACTACTTTGTGTTTCTATAGGTCTTACCTCCAAATTCTATGATTTCATTAAATATAATAAATGTGTCTTGAGTTGTTCCTTTTAATCACTCAGGCAGTTGATATGCAATGCTTCGCTGTATTTTGACTCAATGAATATAATTCAGCAAAAGGCAGAGAGTTAAACTCCAAAAGCAGATACCTTTTCATGCAAACCATTTTAGGCTTTTCTTCTACCATCTGAAAAGCTCAAATAATACTCATGCTTCCAAATCATCCCCCACCCGACCCTGCCTTTCTTTTCTTTGGCTATTTCACTGCGTTGAGTCTTGAAACACAATTTTGAGCCAAAAAATTTAGGCCGCCTTCTCTGGCTGATATCTAAAGAAGAAAAATAAACATGAGGGTAGATTATAGGTTTCTTTTTTATTAGCCATCACAGTTATGCTTCTACATAGAGTGTAATTCTTAAACTCAAATGCTAACTATCTCTGGTTATTCACTACATCAAAGGACAAGTCGGTGATTTTAGAGCATTAAACTAGATTTATTTCTATTTCATAATTATCTTTATTCTTACAGTATCTCTGCAAATGTTATCATGAGCCCCTTGTGCACAAGGGGAAACTGAGGCGGGAAACTATTAGGTAATTGCTATACCTAATAAACCTATTAGGCATTAATAGGTTAACCTATTACATATCGATAATTCTATTATTTATTAATACCTGGTAAGCTCCCACAGTCCAAACACCTGAAAGCTAGGGAAGGCAGGTGTCAAACCTAGAAAGTCTGATTTGAGTGCACTGTGGTAGGGCATTTGCCTTGCGCGAGGCCCGCCCGGCTGACCCGGGTTCGATTCCTCTGCCCCTCTCAGAGAGCCCGGCAAGCTACCGAGAGTATCTCCCCCGCACGGCAGAGCCTGGCAAGCTACCTGTGACGTATTCGATATGCCAAAGACAGTAAACAACAAGTCTCACAATGGAGACATTACTGGGTCCATTGAGCAAATTGATGAACAACGGGAGGGCAGCGCTACAGTGCTACTAGTCTGGGCTGGAGAGCTAGTGCAGGGGTTAAGGCTCTTGCTATGCATGCTGCCTTTTAGACTCAATCTCAGCACCACATATGGCACTGTCAGAGTGACCCCTGAACACAGAGGCAGGAGTAGTCCCCCCAAGCCGCCAGGTGTACCTTCCTGGAATAAATAAAAATAAAAATGATGGGTCTCATTCTCCTAAAGAGCCTTGAATATAGTCTCAGGGTTAGGATGAAAGAGACGTTACTGGGGCCTGCTCGAGGCAATCGACGAATAAAAAATGTATAATCTTTACCATCGTTCTATGCCACTTATTTCCTATACAAATTTCCCTATACAAATCTTTGGCATGAATTCATTGGTATGGTGTTCAGATATAAGGTAAATTAAGAGTCAAATATTATTGTCATTTAACCTGTTTAAATGGCTTTAAAAGTTAGTGAGGCAACAAAATACCTGTTTATTCTAATATTCATTAGCATGATCTAATTTTAGCAATCTTAGTTTTTCTGCCACTGCAGGGTACCCCAAATGTGAGGGCTGAAGTTCGGAAATAGTGCTGGAATAACACATGATTCCTCCGCCCCTCTGGGAGAGCCCGGAAAGCTACTGAGTGTATCTCGCCCGCACAGCAAAGCCTGGCAAGCTACCCGTGAAGTATTCAATATGCCAAACACAGTAACAAGTCTCATGATGGAGACGTTACTGGGCCCACTCGAGCAAATCGATGAACAACGGGAGGACAGTGCAGTACAGTGCAATATATGATTAATTACAGGAATGATGTTAGTAAGTTGGAACTTTTTGCACCTTAAGATCGCCAGAAAGTTTCTTTAACGTAGGTAACCTCAGTACCAGGCTGGTGTGTACACATAAGGCAAGTCTGTCCCGTTTTATCCCTTGTTCACAACTGTAATGAAGCCTATAGGACGCTAGATGGCAGCCTTGCCACGTGAGCCCCAGAGCCAACCGCTGTATCTTTGAGATGTAAGAACAGCTCGTGGTTCGGAATATAATTGTGAATGCAGGGCAAATAATGAGTCAGTTCTCTGACTCATATTTCAGTATTAGAGGTTAAGACCTTTGTGCCAACAGAACTAACCAGGAGGCAGAATTGTCCTGAGTTTCAGTGGCTCAATCTGAGTCAACAGGAGCTGCCCTGAGAAACTTATTTTCCCCTTGTCTTGCTGGGAAACAGTCACTTTCTGCTGCCTGCCCAGTGCAAGCTTCTTGAGAAAGTCCCACCAGAGAAACACAAGCAGTTTGTTATTACCCACTGAAATAGCTGATATCTTATAATTATTGAGTTACATGGTTGATTCATAATCTTATATGATTATATGATTGTAGATAAAATGCTAAGCATTGGATACGTATATGTACAGTATACGTATACAGCATGCATATAGTGTGTATATACAGCATGCATATAGTGTGTATATACAATTTTTGTTTAAAACCACTCTCCTTAACACGTAAGAAATTTGAGGGATAAATTTAAAGTAAACAATTTCAGTAATGTTAATATATAGAGAGTCCTTAAGAGTCACTACTGGAGCTGGAGCGATAGCACAGCGGGTAGGGTGTTTGCCTTGCACGCAGCCAATCCGGGTTCGATTCCCAGCATCCCTTATGGTCCCCCGAGCACCGACAGGAACAATTCCTGAGTGCATGAGCCAAGAGTAATCCCTGTGCATCACCGGGTGTGACCCAAAAAGCAAAAGAGAAAAAAAAAAGAGTCACTATTAAACATCTCTCTAGCTTTTTAACTTTAACGACTTCTTTATCTTTTAACAGCTCATTAATCCTTTTCCTCATCAGAAATGCCACTTTTAATCTCTTTCCCTATTAAACGGGATCCAAATACTGAAATCAAAATCCCCTCGTTGGCTTCTCCTCTCCCCGCCTCCCCCACCTCTGTTGGGTGGAAGAAGGCATTGGAAATCAGGAAGGAAATTCCTATCTCACAGAACCCAGAAAGTCCAATAGATCCAGCAGATTCTTCTGCTGCCAGCCAGGACCACAGTAACTTGCAGTCACAGACTATTTCAGACTATTAGCTGTTAAATAGGCTT